TCCTCCCTCATTTGCTCTTTGCCTATAGGGAGGTTCCCCAGGAGTCCACCGGATTCTCCCCGTTTGAGCTATTCTACGGGAGACGGGTCCAGGGACCCCTGGATCTAGTACGGGAACATTGGGAGGGTGATATGGAACAAGCAGGTACCCCTATAGTCTCCTTTGTACTAGAGCTGAGGGACCGGCTACAGGCTCTGACCGAAACAGTTCGGGAGAACCTGCGAGCCGCCCAACAACGGCAGAAGTACTGGTATGACAAGGGAGCTAGAGACCATATATTAGAAGTGGGACAAAAGGTCCTAGTGCTTAAACCTATCAAAACAGATAAGTTACAGGCATCCTGGCAGGGCCCCTACACTGTAATAGAGCGGATCAGTGATACCACGTACATTGTGGCAGACTGTTCCAATGAAAGGATCCGGCGGTCCTTTCATATAAATATGCTTAAGCCATATCTGGAGAGACCAGAGGAGGTCTCCGCGGTATGCGCTCCAGCATATGAAGATAGCGAGAATATTCCCTTACCAGATATGCTCCCTCAGAAACCCACAGGAGTGGACCAAGTACAGTTGGGTCCAGCATTAGGGCCCGAGGAACAAGCTCAGGCGTCCCAACTGCTAAAGGAATTCGGGGGCATGTTTTCAGCAGCCCCAGGGTATACGACCCTGGCAGTCCACAGAGTGGAGACCCCAGGCCAGTTACCCCTGCGGCAGCAGCCTTACCGAATTCCAGAGGCAGTACGGGAAAGCATGTTAACAGAACTCCAGGACATGTTAGAGCTGGGGGTCATAGAACCGTCCCAAAGCCCCTGGGCTTCCCCAGTTGTCCTGGTTCCTAAAAAAGACGGTACCACAAGGTTCTGCGTGGACTACCGCAAGTTAAACGATCGGACCGTTACCGATGCCTACCCCATGCCCAGAGTAGACGAGCTGCTAGACCGTATGGCTGTGGGGAATTATTTGACCACTATTGATTTGTGCAAGGGATATTGGCAAATCCCTTTGGAGCCCGAGGCCATTCCAAAATCGGCATTTGTCACCCCATTTGGCCTATACCAGTTTAAGGTTATGCCATTTGGGATGAAGAATGCCCCAGCTACGTTTCAAAGGATGGCGGACCGGCTCCTAGAGGGATTTCAGGGCTTCGCTTGTGCGTACCTGGATGATATAGCTATCTTCAGTGGCACTTGGGAAGCCCACCTGGAGCACATCTCAGTAGTGCTCAACCGAATTCAGAATGCAGGGCTAACCTTGAAGCCTGAGAAATGCCACGTGGGCATGGCTGAAGTCCAATATTTAGGTCACAGAGTAGGGTCAGGAAAACAGAGACCAGAGCCCACTAAGATTGAGGCCATCACCCAGTGGCCTCAACCCCGGACGAAAACCCAGGTCATGGCGTTCTTGGGCACCGCAGGTTATTACAGGAAATTTGTAGCGGAATACAGTGCCCTTGCCAAACCCTTGACAGACCTCACCAAAAAGTCCCTACCCCGACAAGTAATCTGGTCCCCTGAGTGTGAGGAGGCGTTCCAGAAACTCAAGGCTGCATTAAGTGCATCTCCTGTGTTAGCGGCACCGGATCATACTAAAAGGTTTCTCGTCCACACAGATGCCTCAATGTTTGGACTGGGAGCAGTATTGAGCCAGGTGGGAGACGATGGCATGGATCACCCGGTGGCGTATCTTAGCCGAAAACTATTACCCCGCGAAGTCAGCTATGCCACTGTGGAGAAAGTGTCTGGCATTAGTCTGGGCACTTAAGAAACTACAACCCTACTTGTATGGGCGCATCTTCACAGTGCTGACGGACCACAACCCTTTAATTTGGCTTAACAGAGTGGCTGGCGATAACCCCAGACTACTCAGATGGAGCTTGGCGCTGCAACCCTATAATTTTACAATGCAGTATCGCCCCGGGAAACAGAATGCCGATGGCCTATCCCGGCAAACTGAACTGGAAAAGTAGTATTTTTGTTTGTTTTTCCTGTGCTACCGGACATCCCTTAGCCGACCCGTTAGGATCTAAGCAGGTATGCCGTTCCATGGGACTATAATGTGTAAAATCCAAATCCCCTATTCACAGTCATTAATGCAATCGTGTCTTGTTCGCTACTTTGGGAACATTACCATAGGATTTCGTGAAATTGTCAAATAAGGCGAACAAACTACCGAACCACCGACCTCCCACTGAGGTCGTGTGGCGCTCATTAACCACCCTGACTGTTGCGGTTAACCACAAACTAATTGGTATAGCGGGTGGTCCGCGTTCACCTCCCGAACACGTGGCAATCGCCATTTTGGTTTTGTCGAACGCGCAGCGGCAAATGGCGAGGATTCCCTGGAACTGATTTCAGCGACCTATTTTGTCGAACGCCGCTGCTACCTTCACCCATCCTCGTTCATACGGTGGAACTATTCGAAGGAAGGGATAATATTTCATTCGCGCATTAAAGTAGGCGAACGTGGCTGACCCCAGATAGCTATAATAAAGGACTGGCAATCGGTTACAAATACACGAATGGCCAAGGACAGCCAAACTTCAGTCGACGATTCTGGGACCTGTGTTCGTGGGATCTGAGCGCTATTCGCCTAGAATATGCACTCAGATCCAAGCTATCTGGGGATGTGTGGAACTTAAAGTTTATGTTATATAAAAAGAAAGTTATGTATTTTTATTCTGTTTTTGCTAAATATAAAAAGGCATGTTTCTTTACTCCTGAAGATAATTACAGCCCTCTTTGCTACCTTAATCTAATTATCTCCAGGATGGGAAAGAAGGAGTGATTTGTGTAAAGGGGAGTGTTTATCCTATAGCCACTGTGATTGGCTACTGTATTACTTCTGTCCCAGTCTTCCATCTGGTCCCCTAGGGGAGTGTCCACCAGGTGGAAGACCTGCATAAATACCGGGCGGGTAGCCCACAGTAAATCAGATCGTTTTTACCCCTTCATGAAGTCTCGACTCATGTTTGGGGAATTGGAAGCTATAATCACTCGGTTTCAGCGGGATTTCGGGAGAAGCTGCAAGGATCATCGCTGCACGTATGCAGGGATCCTTTACACTGGTGGCAAGCGGCGGGATTTCCTCCCGAACGGACGTAACGAATTGAAACAAGCAGTGAATGGCGCATAGATACGAACGGTTGAAACCAACTACACTGAAAGAACTGCTGGAAGCTCGAGGCATAGTGGCAAGCAACAAACCGAAAGCCACGTTAATAGCCGAACTACTGGAGAGCGATCAAACCGGCGAACCACAAATGGCGAATACAGAGGAATCTGAGTTGCAGAGGGATGTGAGATGGAGACTCAGCCTGGTAGGACCTAACCCGGCACCAGAGATCGTGGTACAGATCTTGGCACAAGCTACAGAGTCCCAGAACGCCAGGGAGGCACGAGAAGCCAGAGACAGATCACCTCCAGTGGATATAATGTCGCTATCTGGATCTACAATGGGGCGTCAGCGGAAAATTAACTACGCTGCATTTAAAAGCTTCGTGGAAGGTGAGATGGATATTGATAACTACTTGCAAGATTTTGAAAGACAATGTGTATTAGAAAATTTGGAAAGAGCTAACTGGGCTGCAGTAATAGGTAGCAAATTATCAGGAAGAGCAGCCGAAGCGTTGAGAGCGGTGCCAGATGGGGATATACAAAACTATGACAAGATAAAAGAGATTTTGTTAGCCCGGTATGCTGTAACCCCTGAAGCCCATAGAAGGAAGTTCAGGGCTCTCAGAAGACAAGGAAAAGATTCATATACGGAGTGGGCATTTCGTATGCAACGCGCTGCCAGTAATTGGATGCAGGGGAATCAGGCAACTACTCTAGAGGATGCCGTACAATTGTTATTACTGGAACAATTTTTTGATTATACCCCAGAGGAGGTGAGAGACTGGGTCAGAGACAGAAAGCCAAAAACGGTGGAAGAGGCAGCAAGGCTGGCAGATGAATTTCATGAGAGCCGGCGGATGGATGGCAACCGAGGGGCCCAGAGCCAGCGGCCTGCCTCTGCCCCGCCAACTATGCCCCAGAGGGTACCACCTCCAGGGGGCAATACCACAACCCCGGGGTACTAAAAGACCGCTCCAATGTGTTATGGGTGCAAACAAGTGGGGCACATCAAACCTAATTGCCCACAACGCACTACAGACCGCTGGGGGCGGGCACCGATACCACCAACAAAAGCAGCTGCCCACTGTGTGCAGGAGGATTACAACCCTCTGACTCAAGAGACACCCAGTAGCCATAGTGAAAATTGGGCCACCTTGCATGAGGTGAACCCTGTCCAAGCGGCTGGGGATAACAGGGCGCATCATCGCCAGTCGGTAAAGCTCAATGGGCAAGAAGCTCGGGGACTAAGAGACAGTGGAGCTACGATTACCTTGGTTCAGCCACACCGAGTCACCCCGACCCAGCACACCGGACGCACCATTGCTGTAAGGGTGGCCGGAGGGGCAATTCACAAGTTACCAACAGCCCGGGTTCATATTGATTGGGGTACAGGGGCCAAGGCCGTGGAAGTGGGCATCATGCCAGATTTACCCGTGGAAGTATTACTGGGAAATGATCTGGGATGCCTGACGTCCCAATTGGCAGCCTACAGTACTGAAGGAGCACTACCTGTTACCACCCGGCAGCAATCCAGAGCTATGGAAGCCTCCCCCTCAACCCATGACCAGGTAAGCAATAACCCTCTGATGATTCCCCCTGACCACACTTCTTACTGGG